TACATAATAGTATTCATAATGTTTCACCTTCAGTTCTCTAAATAAAGACAGATCCAACTCTCAGCACCATGACTTCCCTCAATAGGTTAGGTAAAGCAGCACATCCTGAAACCCCACAGCTGGAATAGGATTTTAACCCTGGACTGTTGACACCAATCTGATTTAGAGTGGCCTGTCAACTGAGCTGACTGTACCCTTTCATCAACTGTTGTAGTCTGGAGTTAGTTGGAGTTCCAATTCTCTCCATCACATGGCTCTCCAAGAATCTCCCCAGTTCTTACTGCTTGCCATATGTTGGCAGGATTTACAAGTTGTTACTCAATCTATCTGGTTACCTATCAGCTTTATTTGCTAGGTCCATCAAGTCCTAGAATGGGACTTGAACCTGGAGCTTCTACTTCAGAAGCAGGGAAACTACCCGTTGAGCCACAAGATCTCCTTACAACGCACCCTCAAACAGAAAGACAGCATTAGAATTTTATTTTAGAAATTTTGGAAGGTGGATTAATTTAAATTTGGGGAGGCATCAATAAAGGAGAATACGTTGTTTGACAGAATTTTTTTGCACATTTGTTTAAAGAAAAACAATAAAAATAATATCACGACTGTCCAGGACACAACATATTATAACAGACCTGTGGCTGGAAAATAGTTGACATAATTTGACATAAAAACCTTCCAGAGACAGCTGCATGAAGCATTTTTAGCTACTTGAAAGGACACACCATGTATCTGTTACCATGTGTCTATGAACCCCACATGGAGATACATATAAAGGAGAAAAGAGTTTCAGAAAGAATGAGAAAGAAATGAACAAAAAGTACATCAGACAGGATGGGAGACATCACAATTAAGAAAACATGAGAGTTAAAAAAAGAAAACAAGGAACAGTTACATCTATGAGCAACTTAATGGGAGATCAGCTGTAGCAGAACTTATTATGAGTTAATACAATGGTCATCCAAAAAATATTTGCTTCAAATTAAAGGCTCTGCTTTTCACAGGATTTAAAATAGTATTATGCTTCACAAGGACAGTCATCAAGTGTTTACTGTTATCCAGGTGCCTGTAATTGAATGGACCTGCATGATCCATTGATCGATTCCAATCATTTTGGAGGACCAATTAAATGTGACCTAACAGACAATGGCAACAGTGAATCACACTTTTAGGACTCAACATTAACTCCAAGCAAGTGAATGGAATTCAAATGAGTTAAGACCTCACCCATATTCTCTGGACTGCACCGAAACATCCATCAATCACTCATGAATAATCAATTTCAAGTCTATGTGACTAGCAAGAAGGAATTCAATAAATTATGCACCATTAACAATAATGCTTGAGGGTCTCAGAACTACATGTGCTTTATTGGGTTTGGGGAGGCCAGGTGACAAAGTTAAAAGCACATCTATGGCTCACTGCACCTTAATTTAATTTTGTTTCACTGCATTTAAGTGATAGATTTAATTTTCAGAGATAATATAGTGAGATGAATTGGTATCTGGGTTTTAAACTAAGTAGTGTGGTGGGGCATTGTTTCAGTTGCATGGAAAATTAGAAAATCAAAGTTAAAGGAGAGTGGGAGGGCAGGTTAGTGAAATTTCATATCACATCAAGACATTGTACAAGAGTAGGGAAATTTGATAAAAGAACAACATAAAGGCTTTGTATCTGAATGCACGAAGCATTCATAATAAAATTAATGTGTTAACAGTGCTAATAGAGACAAATGGGTATGATTTGGTGGTGATTCCTGAGACGCAGTTGAAGGGAGACCAGGTTTGGGATTTGAATATTAAAGAGTATTCAGTATTTTGGAAGGATAGACAGGAAGGAAAAGGAGGTGGTATACCTTTGTCAGTAATAGGGTTTTTCTGAGCTGTAGTGAGACATAATGATATAATCACTGGAGATCAAGGTAAAGAATCAGTCTGAGCATAAATAAGAAATAGCAAGGGAAGGAAGTCCTTTCTGGGAGTAATCTATAGGTCCCCAAACAGTAGTCCAGTAGTGGTGCACAATACTGGAAATACCGCGGGCTTGTAAGAATGGTACAAATCACACGTGATTTGCATGTTGACTGCATTAATCAAATTAGCAAGGGTTGCATCAAGGGAGAGTTCATTAATGTATTAAAGATTGCTTCTTGGAGCAATATCTTAGAATCATAGAAATCCTACAGTGCAGGAAGAGGCCATTCAGCCCTTCAAATCTGCAATGACCCTCCAAAGATCATCCCACCAAGTCCCAGCTCCCCACCCTATTCCAGTAACCCTGCAGTTACCATGGCCAATCCACCTAACCTGCACATCTTTGAGTGTGGGAGAAAACGGAGCACCCAGTGGAAACCCTTGCAGACATGGGGAGAAAGTACAAACTCTACAAAGGCAGTCAATCAAGGCTGGAATCAAAACCAGGTCCCTGGCGCTGTGAGGCAGCAGTGCTAACCCAATATGTTGAGGATCCAACCAGGATGCAGGCTATCCTGGATTTGGTATTGTGTAAAAGGATGGGATTAATTAATGATCTCATAGTAAAGGATCTTCTTGGGAAAAGTGATCGTAGCATGCCAAAATTTCAAATTCAGTTGGAGTTCGAGAAACTGAAGTCCCACACTAGTGTACTGGAGTTAAACAAAGCTAATTACACAGGTATGAGGTCAGATTTGACCCTAGAGAACAGGGAGGGAAGACTAAAAGGTAGGACATTTGATGATCTGTGGCAGATGTTTAAGAAGATAGTCAATTGATCCCAATTAAAATATATTCCAGAAAGGAAGAAAGATTGTTAGAGCAGGAGAAACATCCATGTTGCAATGCAAAGGAATTAAAGAACTAAGGCATATCATATTACAAAGGCAAGTGGCAGCTGGAGGGTATGGAAACTTTTAAAGATCAATAAAGGGTTACTAAAAGAGTCATAAAAAAAGCAAAGGTAAATTATGAAAGAAAACTAACAAAATATAAAGACGGACAGCACAAGCTTCTATAAATATGTAAAACGGAACAAAGTAGCTGAAGTGAATGGGATCCCGTGGAGGATAAGACTAGGCAGTTAATAGCAGGGAACACAGAAATGGCAGAATCGCTAAATCAATATTTCAGAGATAGTAGGAACTGCAGATGCTGGAGAATCCGAGACAACAAGGTGCAGGGCTGGATGAACACAGCAGGCCAAGCAGCATCATAGGAGCAGAGAGGCTGACGTTTCGGGCCTAGACCCTTCATCAGAAAAAAAATCAATATTTCACTTTCGTTTTCACAGTAGGCGACACTAGTACCATCCCAGTCATAACAGGTAATGCAGAGAATTATAGAAAGGAAGGAACTTAGAATAATCATCGATCTATTGATTGTCACGTGTATTTGTTACACGTGTTTGTTACAAATACGGTGAGAAGTAGTGTATAACGTCACCACTCTCCAGCGCCACCTTAAAACAGAAATAAACCAGGTAGAAAAATAAAGTTAAAAGTTCAACGTGGCTAAATGCTTCCACCCCGATGCTGAGACCATCATCAGCAAGAAACAGACGGCCAGCCTTGAGTCCCTCCATCGCCGCAAGAACCATGTCACCATTCGGCGCCAACTTGCCTCCACCGACGTCGCCATCAGCATGACTTTGCACTGGACCGATGTCAGAAATGCAGCTGCTGCTGAAGCTACTGAATCCCACACCAGCATAGGGCCCAAACTCACCTCCCTCTGTCACCGCTGAGAACACAATCTCATCTCCCTCTGCCGCCACTGGGAGCACGATCTTGACTCCCTCCGCCCCCACCAGTAACAAACCTTGCCTCCAAAGTGCTGGATACCTCAACGCCATGTGACCTCTCCACAAGATGATAAGTAAAGTTTAACTTTTTTAACAAAGGCAGAGCAAGAAAAAAGGAAAAGAAGGTGGAACTCCAGCAGCCCGATCGCTCTGCTACTACTTCACCGCTGTCTTGACCAAAGAGTCATCTCGCGTCATCATCATCATCACTAGGGGAAAAAGTACTGAGCAAATTATCGGGGTTGAAGGCAGGCAAGTTCCCAGGGGCTGATGGCCTACATTTTAGGGTCTTAAAGGAAGTGGCAGCAGAGACAGTGAATCCATTGGTTATAATATTCCAAAATTCCCTGGATGTAGAAAAGGTTCCAGTGGATTGGTAAAGTGCTCATACAACACTCTTATTCAAAAAGGGAAGGAGGAAGCAAGAAACTACAGACCAATTAGTTTAGCATTTGCCAGTGGGAAATTGTTCAAATCCATGATTTAAGGAAGTAATTACATGGCATTTGGGAAGTCAAAATGGTTTAATGAAAGATAAATCATATTTGACTAATTTGCTTGGTTCTTGGAAGATGTAGCAAGCATATGAAGGGTAGCAGATTTAACACAGAGATGAGTAGAAATTACTTTTCTCAACAGGTTGTGAATCTGTGGAATTCACTACCGCAGAATATGGTGAATGCTGGGACATTGAGTAAATTTAAAGAGGAGAAAGATTTTTAATTAATAATGGGTTGAAGGGTTATGGAGAGTGAGCAGGAAAGTGGACTTGATGCTGAGATGAGATCAGCCATGATTACTTTGAATAACGGAGCAGGCTTGAGGGGCTGAATTGCCTAGTCCTACACCTATTTCTTATGTTCTATCACAGCATCTGTATATAGGAGGATTTTTTCCTTATTCTAATATGGACGGGGGTGAATGTAGTAACCACACACAGCAAAGGACAAAGAAGAAAATACACCCTGATTAAGTAGATTATATGATACAAAAATATTATAAAAAGATACACGTGCACATTTTTAGCAGTAAGTCATCTTCCCTTAAAAGTTTAATGTTACAGTACATCTACGATATTAAAAATTGTGCAGGATCTACCAGAAGGAAAAAGTGCAATGTATTCAATGACCTTTTCTCATATCGCTTTTTTTCTAAATACGTAAATAAATCATGCAAAACAAGTATAATGGTCTCGATTACAAGCAACAGTAAAATTTAAGTACCTGAGGTATTGGATAGGAAGTAGGATTAATTGCATCTTCTCGACCAAAGTCAATCATTTTTCCACACTTTGGAATGTTGTCGACCCACACACCTTCATACATTTGGCCTTTCTCAAAGAAGAAAAACTTTCCTGTTCCATGTTTCTTTCCATTTTTCCAGAAGCCTTCATAGCGGTTTTCATTGGCTGAATAAATATATAACTATTAAATAATGTAAAAATCAGAAATATTTAAGATAACTAATCCAACATTTTGGATCCTGACTATTTTCTTCAGTAAATCTGAATTCTACTGTTATTTATTGTTTTCATGCTTTCATCTCAAACCATTTCAAGTAAACTTCAAATTGTGATTATCTTGAGGGTATTTACCAGTTTCTCAAACTCTGTTTTTATATCTACAAAAAATGGGGGGAAAAACTGAGTCATAGAATCATAGACATGTACAGCAAGGAAACAGACCCCTCGGTCCAACTTGTCCATACCGACCAGATTTCCAAAATAAATCTAGTCCCATTTGAGCATTTGGCCCTTCCTATTCATGTACCCATCCAGATGCCTTTTGCATGTGGTAATTGGACCAGCTTCCACTACTTCCTCTGGCAGCTCATTCCAGAAACACACCACCCTCTGTGTGAAAATGTTGCCCCTTAAGTCCCTTTTATATCTTTCTCCTCTCACCTTAAACATATGGCCTCTAGTTTTGGACTCCCCCACTCTGGGGAAAAGACCTTGTCTATTCACCCTATCCATGCCCCTCATGATTTTATGAACCTCTATAAGTCACCCCTCAACCTCCGACACTCCAGGGAAAACAGCCCCAGCCTATTCAGTCTCTCCCTATAGCTCAGAGCTTCCAACCCTGGCAACATTCTTATAAATCTTTTCTGAACCCTTTCAAGTTTCACAACATCCTTCCTATAGCAGGGAAACCAGAACTGCACATAGTATTCCAAAAGTGGCCTAACCAATGTCCTGTACAGCTGCAACATGACCTCCCAACTCCCATACTCAATGGACTGACTAGTAAAGGCAAGCATACCAAACGCCTTCTTCACTATCCTATCTACCTGCGACTCCACTAGGAACTATGAACCTGCACTCCAAGGTCTCTTTGTTCAGCCACACTTCCCAGGGCCTTACCATTAAGCATATAAGCCCTGCCTTTCCAAAATGCAGCACCTCACATTTATCTAACTTAAACTCCATCTCCCACTCCTCGGCCCATTGGCCCATCTGATCAAGATCCCATTCTAATTTGAGGTAACCTTCTTCGCTGTCCACAACACCTCCAATTTTAGTGTCATCTGCAAACTTACTAACCATACCACCTATGTTCACATCCAAACCATTTATATACATGGCAAAAAGCAGAGCATCCTGCTGGTCACAGGCCTCCAGTCTGAAAAGGAACCATCCACCATCTGTCTTCTACCTTTGAGCCAGTTCTACATCCAAATGGCTAGTTCTCCCTATATTCCATGTCATCTAACCTGGCTAGCCAGTCTACTGTGAGGAATCTTGTCAAATGCCTTACTGAAGTTCGTCTAGATCATATCCACCACTCTGCCCTCATCAATCCTCTTCATTACTTCTTCAAAAAACTCAATCAATTTAGTGAGACATGATTTCCCAAGCACAAAGCCATGTTGACGATCCCTAATCAGTCCTTGCCTTTCCAAGTACAGGTAAATTGTGTCCCTCAGGATTCCCTCCAACAACTTGCCCACCAGCAATGTCAGGCTCACTGGTCTATAGTTCCCTGGCTTTTCCTTACCACCTTTCTTAAATAGTGGCACAAAGTTAACCAACCTCCAGTCTTCTGGCACCTCACCTGTGGTTATCAATGATACACACATCTCAGCAAGAGGCCCAGCAATCATTTCCCTAGCTTCCCTTGGAGTTCTAGAGTACACCCGATCAGGTCCCAAAATGGAATTCCAAAACAAAAGTAATTCTGAGGCATATGAATCATAAAATCATAATGGTATATGGAGATTTTTCTCTAACTGATTGCTTGTATCGAGGACCCAATTGTATAAATATATTTAAGATGGCAATCAAAGTAGAAACTCTATTCCGTCTAAACAGATCACAATCTTGCACACTGTAAGCACACGCTCCTCACACATAGGAATGTATTAATAGTTGGTGCAAATAATAGTAAGTTCAATGTTGATTTTTAACTAGCAAATCACAAATAAAGCAAACTGAAAGACTTTCTTTTGGTGAAGTGAGATTTAAAATATGGTTCTTGATAACAACTGCCCTACTGTAGTTGAATAGCAATGCCATATTAAAACAACATGGAACACGATTTTTAGAACAAAATGGCGTCGTGGAACCATTTTGAAAATGTCCGAAAAATGGTTCCGCGGGGAATGGAGTGCAATTTCGATCTCGAGTGCATTCCCAAGAGCTCTCGGAAGTCGATTTTTTTGACACTTTGTCAATTTTTTCGTTGACTTTTCGAACTCTTTATGTCCTTTCTAAAAGTCAGTCAGAGACCTGTGCGGAGGTCTCTGGACACAGTTGGAGGGCAAACAACCTATTTTTACTGGCAGTGGTCAGCAAAAACACCCCAGAAGATGCCGTCCCTCCATAGGTACTGCCCATACACATGGCAAACTTGGGTGCCTGGTTCCCTTGGGCGTTGCACGGAAGGTAGCGGGCTGAACCTTCGCCTGTGCTTGCCCAGAATATCGGCTCGTTTGCACAGGCCTCACGTGCACAACCAGACCGTTCCCGGCTCTGATTGTGGGTGGCCCACCTGCCCTCGTGGTTCCTACCTGGCACCCACCGTCATCCGACTGCGTGACGGATCTGCAGCCCTGCGGTGCTAAGCACCTGGGTTCACGTCCCGACCGGCGAGCGTCGTGCATGTGCGACTCCGCTGTGGTTCTCCTCGATCGATTTGGCAATTCCTGTCAGACGTGGGAGGGCCCTCAGCAAGCCGACTTTCCTCTCAGGGGCTGGTGCTTCAGGCCGAGCAGTTCCTCCCTTCTCACTGCCCTTGCTGGCAGACAGACATGTATGTTTAAGGGTCACGTTGGCGGCCGGGTCGGCCAGGCCGGCACCCCTCCGCTGGAGACACATTTACCCTTCCTGGTTCTGGTGACACCGAGAAGCCGCCTCTTTCGGAGCCAGTGGTCCGAAATTGAGCCCTGGGAGTGGGTCTCAGCAAGGTTCTCCGCACCACCGTCCTCGGCTTCTCGAGTGAGACGGGGGCAGGGGCCTCTTGCTGTCTCCCGTTCCTTGCGGCTAGAACTTCGGTTGCCATTTCTCATGCACTTTTGCGGTCAAAAAGCGGGGAGAGGAGCCAGGGAGGCGGCTCCCACTCTCTCTCCCGCTCGCACACAGACAACCCAGCGATGTCTGTGTGCTTAGCCTCCCCACAGGGTGATCCTCCGTCTGGCTGTCGGTTCAGGTCTTGCTTTAGGTCAGAGCAGAGGTAACTTGTGAAAGAGTTAGACCCAGTGCCAGGAATTCCCTCTGTGGGAAGGCCAGGCACGAGCCTGCGGGCGACGGTTCTGAGTTCGGCGGTGATGGCAGCTTTACTTTCCAGCCACTCCGCACACATTTACGCACCCTGTGCCCCTCTGTCCTGCCAGATGGCAGGGTGCAGTCCTTCCGTAGTCCCATGGTTCTCGAGGAAAGGGAGTGGTCAGTCATGCGTGCAGCGGTGTGTGCGGGATGGTATGGTGCACTGTGTGCGAGGCCAGCGCGTGCTTTGTGCCTCACTCCACCTGTAGCCACCCAAGGTATTGCCACTTCGTCATTGGCAGCTCTCCCGCGACCACCATGCTGGTTTCCCCTGGTCGCCCGCTTGCCTTTGTCGGTTCGGCTACCTGGTTGATCCTGCCAGTGGCATATGCTTGTCTCAAAGATTAAGCCATACATGTCTAAGTACACACAGTACAGTGAAACTACGAACAGCTCATTAAATCAGATATGGTTCCTTTGATCGCTCCAAACATTACTTGGATAACTGTGGTAATTCTAGAGCTAATACATGCAAACGAGCGCTGACCCACACGGGGATGCGTGCATTTATCAGACCAAAACCAATCTGGGCTCGCCCGGCAGTTTTGGTGACTCTAGATAACCTCGGGCAGATCATAAGTCCTTGTGACAGCGACGATTCATTCGAATGTCTGCCCTATCAACTTTCGATGGTACTTTCTGTGCCTACCACGGTGACCGCGGATAACGGGGAATCAGGGTTCGATTCCGGAGAGGGAGCCTGAGAAACAGCTACAAATTTTCTAAATTTAAAAAAAAAACCAAAAGGGCAGCATGGCAGCTCAGTAGTTAGCACTGCTGCCTCACAGCGCCAGGGACCTGGGTTCGATTCCACCATCGGGCAACTCTCTGTGTGGAGTTTGCACATTCTCCACATGTCTGCGTGGGTTTCCTCCCACAGTCTAAAGATACACAGGCTAGGTGGATTGGCCATGTTAAATTGCCTATCGTGTTCTGGGATGTGGAGCTTAGGTGGGTTATTGGGAGATGGGTCTGGGTGGAATGTCTGAGGGTCAATGTAGACTTGTTGGGCTGAAGGGCCTGTTTCCACACTGTAGGGATTCTGTGATCTATGAACAAAATTATTAAGCCATTTATCATGTCAGATAGAGACTAAATGTATTGTAGATCTTTGTAATAACAGAAGACTCATAACTAATACTCTTTACCAGTCAGTTCCTTTTTATGAAAGGCAATCAACTTGAAATAATGGGTGGCACCTTCCCAGTTACTGAATGATGTGGGCATTCGTGCGTTAGTTGGGAAAAGAGGATGAGATATGTAGAAATCAGGTTCTTGGCATTGAGCAAGAAAAAGTCCAATTCTCCAATCATGTTTGAATGGTGAGTTGAGAATCTTGCAAGTCAGCAGGGAGAGGGTTATTTGCACGTAATAGCATGCCATTAATCCTTTATCTCACCTCATTTGTATGTGGTTCCTCATTCTCCCACCCGACGAATAGAACTAGACAATGACAATTCTTGACATGAATGTGAGAGCAGGTACCTGATGTCTCCTGGTCTCCATCTTCAAAAGCATCCTGGAAGTCAACTCAATCAAAGTCAAGGAGTGGGGGCTTTATCTGGGGCCCCTTCTTGGTAAGGAAGTTGGGGCACTCAATTCTGGGGATTGGATGCAGCATGCATTGTATTTTCAGGATTAAA